AACCTATTTTCGCAATTTGGCAAACTCCAAATTGACTTTAGACCCATGGCTTATTTAGCAAATTTGCTTAGTATTATACGTAGAATCCTGCTAAGCTATACGCGCATAGCCAAAAAATAAAAAAATAAAAAATGACCCGTCCTAATGTATCAACAACGATAATCATAAATAATGCAACATATGCGCATCGTTCACCTGCATCTGCTGCGCCATTTCCTCGCTCTCCAGCAACTCTCTTTGCCTCTGTTCCTGTAAGTCACGTTCCAACTTTTCGGCGATCTCCTTCGCTACACGCTTATCATATGCTTCCCTGTGGTCACATAAAACATTTCACCTTGGCATCTGACTACATACAAATGTGTATAATTTTATTGCACTTACTGTTCGAGCAGTCGACGTCGATACATTTCCACTTGCCGCTCGGCCTGTTCCTTCTCCTTGATTTGCTCATTCAGCGCGGTGGGAAAATCCTCACGTACCACAGCGTTGCGCTGTCGATTGCCTTTGTAGAAGTCATTTACTGTTGGAGAAGAATTGCAAAATATGAATTATGTATGTGTGTGTGTGCATAAGTTATAAACTTTAGTTCCGGTTGTTAATTTTGTACTTTGCTAAGGGACATAACTTACTTTCTTGTGATTGCAATTTATAGGCGAGCGCGCTGTCTTCACGTACCAACCATTCTTTACACACTGCAATAGAAGAAAGAGAGGTGAATAAAGTTGAAACTAAGCCAATAAAATGCATAATAAAAAATTATGGAGATACAACAGCAATACTTATGTCTACACTAAAAAGTTACATTTATAGCAGTGGTATGGACCATTCATTTGCTGAACTTGCAACTGGTAAACGAGATCAAAGCTTTTAAGCGTTACAACTTAATTATATACCCCACAAATGGGAGGAGATAAGATTAGTTTTCATATTTTAAGTAGGTAAAATAACACATACGAAACCAAAAGACTTTTGGGCCAACGTGAGCACCCGAACAGACCCTTGCTCGAGGAGGGGCTTCCTCCCAGGTACGTTAGTACGTTAGGGGGCACTTATTCGTATATATGGACTCTGACGAGACGGCATTCAGAGGCAGTCGGTCTCCACCTGCCGCTACGTCCGGCTTATGAATGCCGTGATCGAAGCCTAGTCACAGCCTTTGTCAGACGCGGAGCTGCAACTGCCAAGAGACCGGCGTTACTCTGGCCCAGTTACGGTCTGAATATTGGAGCCGTTTCGACAGCTATATGTCCCAGACTCAAACGCAGTAGATACCGCCAATGAGAGTCCGGCATTTGTAGGCTATCGCGCACGATACCAACCACCTCTTCACATGCCAGCTAAATCCATTCCACTCATACCCCTCTCCCTTTGGTCTGCTAGGGCAGAACGCACTTCCGAACCCTGCTCCCATTACAGCGTTTACGACTCTTCTACCTTCAAGAGAAGTGTAAAAAAATGAGACGCTCTAAGGAATGGAGAGTTCATCCATGTATACACAAATCGCTTAAAGCTCGAGGGAGGGGTTGGTGGGGGTTTATACCCAAACATTTTCAAATTTCCCATAGCTTTCGTCTAATGAACCACTGCGGCGTTTTTCAGGCGTAGGTGATGGCAATCGACAGTGCCTCAAAACCGGTAAAGTGTGATGTAATATCCTAAGCTGATACACACTGTACATCTTTGCTGCATTCTACAACCTCCACTGTAACCATGAAATGCCGCACATTTATTAACGAGATGGCTGAGTCATTTCGCTCAGTGGCAATACTCTTCAAAATATTTCGAAACCACTATCTTCTTAAATATCTTTTCACTGGCACCCATTTATATAATTGTCTTAATCTCCTAATTCAGGTTAAATTTGACTATTTTAATACAAGTCCGACAAATAGTTTAGGTATGAAGCCAAGAGGGCAGAAGTGGCCCAAGCCAAAAATATTATTTGTTGGACTTAACTTCTTAAACTAGTTTCTAATTGGATACATTTTAAAATAAGGGTCGCTTAGTCCTTAATTTGGTAATACGCTAAGCAGCGCTGTATCTAAAAATTAAGGAATAAGCGACTTTATTTTAAAATTTTTCACATTTGAAACTATTTAAAGTAGGTAAGTAGAAACAAAATTTTTGGGGGTAAGGCCACTATGGCAACCTTGGTCGAACCCTTTGAAATAAAGAAATCTCCTACCAAGGTAATTTTAGGATTCATTAAGAAAGCCGAAGGTATCTTGCTAACATACTAGTTCAAAATTGTCCAGTCCAAAAATGGTAAACAAACGTTCTTCCACTGATTAACTCATAAATATGTAAATTCCCTAGAGCTGATTATGGTAATTTAGAGAATCTGAATACTTCATAGAAATACCCGCGGGTCGCATACGCATACATATACATATAGTACATACATACCTATACAAATCTACTAACATGGAAACTCGACTTTCACATAAAATTCTCAAATTATGCATCATTATTTTCGAGTGAACTCGCCACAGTTAAAGAAAAAGAACACGAAAACAAATAAAAAACGAAAGGGATTAAAAGAAAAAAATAAATAATTATGATAAATACGAAGCCAACTCAAACTTGAATGACAGACTGTCTACCTACTACCTAGTTAACTGGCGTTATTGGCGTTAAAGGTATGGGCAAGAATTCGGATACACTGATCATTGGGGAGTTACAAGGAATTTCAATCGAAAATGTGAGGGGCGGATGGATATGTACATACATAAGAATTGTGCTTGTTTAAGACGAACTTTACACGATTGTTACATTCTTTAATTTGTAAGTGGCGGTGGGAAAGAAGAAATTGTTAAGTAGTTGCATCTGATTACCAGGCGATTGTGGTAAGATGAGTGAGTGACGGTGACGGTGGCGATGGCGATGGCGATGGCGAGTCATGAGTCATGCGAATGCAGCAAAGCATAAAAGGAGAAGATGAAGGTATATGCATCTACTAGATATGTATGTACATATATATTTATAACAATTTTAAGTCAAAGGTAAATGGGAACAGTAAATCAAGCAAAGAAATTCCTGCGTAATGACGAGCAACCAAGAGAATACATAGTAGTGGACTACACTGTGAGGAACAACGAGTGGGGATTGTTGCCGCAGTACCTATTTATTGAAGTAATCGCATTCGATCACTTGTGCGTTAATAAGTATGGCATAACCCGGCAGTTAATCGTATTATCTCAAAGCGAGTATTTATATAGAATAAATCTATATATATATACATATATAAATATAGCCGTTTTTTTGTGACCAATTGGCTCAAAACCCGATGAACGGATTTCAACGGAGTATATTTCTTAGGACCGCGGCAAGGTCACAGGCTTTACTATTTTAATCCGCTAGGTGGCGCAAGTGTCGAGATATTCAGAAAGTCTGTATTTATGATCCGATTTCGATGAAATTGGAAACATATAATGTGGGTATGACGGTAAAGACTCTTACGAAAAAGGGATCCGCTAGGAGGCGCTAGAGTCGAGTTATTCCGAAAATTTGTATTTTTGATAGAGTTGTGAAATGGAACTAAGTATTGAGGAAGGCTTATACTTACTAATGATAAGTTTATTGCCAGTTCCACACTATAAGAACCGACATAACTAGATGCCGTCTGTAGAATATGAAATATGTATATCGTCACCTGAAATGCAAAATAACGTAACAACATCGTCACTGAAATTGAAAAAGTCTTGACTAATTTATTTTTTTCATAAAACGATGTGGGGAGTTGTAATTCGATGAAATCCATCATAGCAATCAAAAAGTAAATTTTGAATTTTTTATAAGTTACGACTTTTTGCATTTCAGGTGACGATATGTACATTCGGGACATGTTAGGGACTATTTTGGGACTTGTTCGGGATCATTTTTGGGCATGTTGAGGAATAGAAAGGAACCATACCCAGACCCTTTCACAACTTTTCCGAATTCATTTCGAAGCAAATTCACTTCTTTTTCTACCATTTCGGGGCCTGTTCTCGATCATTTTACGACCTGTTCAGGACTATTTCATGCACATTTTGGAGCTATTTCTGGACGATTTCGGGACTATTTCTGGACCATTTGAGACTAGTTCAGAACCACTTCGGGACAATTTCGGGCCTATTTCGAGATCGTTTCGGGGTAGTTCGTAACTTGTCACGATAAGATCCTGAAATAGCCCTGAACTATTTCCGAGAGGGTTATAAAAATATCGTATACTGGTCCCGACAAAATGAATAAAAGGAAATGAAACTAATGTTTAAATTCTAGCCTCACCTATTTATCCTTGCCAAGCCGTACACAGATCTTAAGGCATCAAATTTCATTAGCAGCTGGTACTTACGCATTTTTTCTTTCCCTTTTGTATAAAAAAATCACCATCTAAGTGGTCATGGTCCGAAAATAATTACCACGCACCAGTTTAGTTTAGTAAAAAAGTTACATTGATCTGATAGGTCTACATATGTTTCTAACAACAACTTTAATGTGTCAAATACCCTTTGGAATTGAAAAGTACGAACTGAAGTACAAATGTAAATAATCTTGCTCGGCCGCATTGCGTCAATTTGATGGAAGATGATAGCTCTGAAGTTGCATGTAATCAAAGTTCATGTCATTTATCATTAATCAAGCTATTTATGTATTTATGTACATATGTACATACATAACTTAGTTTTCTAGTTTTGTTTTTCTAACGCAATTATCTCGAGCTTATACATACTTTCATTTACACATAATTACCATGCATGCAAGTGTGTACGAGCATTTGTGCTTATGTTTAAGTATACTTTTTTTTTAAGATTCTTGACTTCTATGACACTGCTGCATCTCATAATTTCCCTTTGTCGCCATTTAAGCCGGCATTCATGCTTTCAGTTTTTAAGTTCTTCTTAATTTTTATACGCTTGACTTGATCTCTGTTGAACTTTTACCGCTTCGTCTTGCAACATACATACATACATACATAAGTAAGAGAATGCAACAACATTTAGCGGCATAAAATGTGTAGTACGTAGTTAGGAAAGAAGCCTAATGGTCGTTCGGATTTAACTGTTCAACGTTGAGTAACAGGATGTGATGACATTTAATATCTACTGAGTATGCGTTGGATCGCGTACATAGTAGGTACCTACATACATACATATCGTTGCCTTAATATAGAAAGGCCCTATCTGACATCGTCGCTGATTTACAAAAAGTCGTAACTAACTAAAAATCGAAAATTTCCGTTTTAATTGATTATGATGCATTTGATCGAATTATGTGGCCTCACATCGTTTTATGCAATAAAAGATTTTAGTTAGTTACGGCTTTGTGCATTTCAGCGACGATGTGAGATAGGGCCTTTCTATATTAAGGCAACGATATGTAAATGCTTAGTTTACTTATACTACACACTAAGCATTAGCATGCATTGGATAAGGTACATTAGTGTCCGCGTAAAATAGAGGAGAAATGGACACTAAGCAAATTACTTGACTGTTGTAAAATTTTTAATTGTAATAGGCATTAGTGGAGCTCCAGATGAGGTAAAGAAAGAGGTCATCTTCAAAGCTATCAAATACAAAACTAATAACAAACCATAAGTTTTCGAAAGTGGCAAGTTAAAATTTAGACTGCGCAGAATAATAGTTCGAAAATAGCGTTTTCTGATAAAGTCAGACGTGTCTCTTTTGTTCTCGATTAATTTGCTAATACATCGACTTTGGTACGTATGTACATGGGTGGTTTCTGCTATATGTATATTTATATTG